CGGGCTCCTCGTAGGGAGTTCGAGCTCTTAGTAGGGAGGTCGGGCTCCTCGTAGGGAGTTCAGGCTCCTCGAATGGAGTTCGGACTCCTCGAAGGGAGTTCGGACTGCTGACTTCCTCCCTTTTGTGCTTGCGTCCTGGGTACGCTGCTTTAAGTGCCGAGCTATTTGTTTTTGCCACATGGAGTGATTGCGAGGTCGGACCAAATCTTCCTTCATCAATTGCCTCCCACTCCTCGCGCTAAGGGTCTTGCCCTGCGTGGGGAGTTCGCAAGGTGTCAGGTAGATTTGCCCTATACTTTGAATCTTGGTTCTGATGGCGCGAGGTGCGTTGTCAGGGTTCCTTGGGTTTCATCGAGCGCCCAAAAGGAGAGAAACGTGCCGACCTGTCTAAACGCTGATAGATGCGACGACGCGCGCTTTATTTCAAAATTTCAAAAAAGCGCGCCACTGAGGCGCGATAGCAGGCGTCTTCTCAAATTTGAAAAAACGTGCCGCTGCCGCTTTTATTGAGACGTGTGCTGGCGTTCCGTCAGTTTCGAAAAGACGTGCGCCGGCTCTCTGTCAGTTTTAGGAAGACGTGCGTTGGCGCTCTGTCAATTTCAGAAAGACGTGCGCCAATCACGTCTCGGTCTCAGGGGACGTGCGGTCAGTGCGGCTGTGGGCCGTCGGATTGGCTTTGATTTAAGTCGTCGCTTTTCGATCACTGTGAGTATAAATAGCGGGGGGGGGGACCCCAGTCGCTGTCACTTGTGTATCTTTCGAGCTCGCGTCCGAGTTTTAGCTCGCATCCAGTTCGCGTCCAGGTTTTTTCAGTTCACGTTCAAGGTCTTTTGCTCGTCCGAGCTCCTGTGGTCTACAGCCTTTTTCCGGGTGAGTACTTTTCTGGAATCCATCTTACTCTCCGATGTCTAGCTTAGATAGCTCAGATATTCCTTCCAGCGGGTCTGATGCAGGTTCTACGAACCGAGTTGCATCCCTTGATAGCCCTAGCGAGCCGGAGGTAGAGCTCGAGGAAGAGTTCGAACTCGTAGGTCGAGGCGCTTCGAGTAGTTTGGCGTCCACTTCTCGTCGGGGTCGGATGTTAGGTAAGTTTGGCCCTTCGACCATGACGCCCGAGGGGCTCCAATCCCTCATTACCTACTATAACTTGCCCGGGGAGTACGCTTATTTCATACCTTCGGGTAGCTTTCCTTGGGAACATGGTCCTGATGAGATCGTGATATTCCGGGAGCAGCTCGC